TACGAAGCATGTCTACCATCGAGGTACAATCCGTTAAGATTGGATGCGAGGCAGCTCTTGTACCACAACGCCCCCTTGGAGACTTGGGCGCAGTTGTTACCACGTGTATCATTATCATGATCTTTCGCAATGAACTGCATATTACTGAAAATAAAAAATCGAGAGGGATGTTAATTTTAGTTTCGTGTACGTCTCGAGGAAACTATTTAACCTTACAACTTCCCGGGCTTGGAGGAAACAATTATAATATTCAGGTAGACAAACGATCAGGAAGGCAAGGAGACATATCGGCTCAAACAGATAGATGAGCAAAAAGACAGTTGATCATCAAGAAGGAGAGACAGCCAGGTGACAGACAGACGATCAGAATGACAGACTGATAAATAGACAGGCAGGCAGATAAGTAAGCAGGCAGACATACAGGCAAATAAATAAAGGAGGTAAGTTTCTAAACAAACTGTGTTGCTGCGTTGGTGGGGGTAACAAGGGAATTTGGTGATATCAACTCAGTAAGTTGAAATTGTGAATTGGCCACCGTAAAGAGTTTAAAAGTTGAACGTTAGCCCATCGTCAGAGACAATGGAGGAATTGTAGGTTGTGTGTGGGTTTATATGCAGAAAGCGGAGCTACGCTATATGTATGAACACGGTGTCGAGAAAAACACGAATAAATTTGTAGAATAAAAAGCGTTCGTTGATACCGATGGGGTTAAGAGTGCCGATTTGAAAGATAAACTTTTGTTCAAGAGTTTTGCGAGAAAAGGGAATGGAATTCTTGACACGAGATGGGTTCGAAGATGAATCATGAGATCAAGTAACTTGGTTAGTCTGTAGGTTTGTAATACACACTAGTGCATAAACCGTTGCCTTCAATTGAAACTTTGATGTCAGAAAAGGATAAAGAATTGTGGGAAATTTGCCAGGTATATTTTAGAGCCGGGTGAAAGGAGTTGACTGCGGTTATGAATTGAGTTAGCTTCGCTCTGGTAGAGGAGATAGCGCCGATGCAGTCGTCAATGAAGCGACCGTAGAGTTCAGGGGTTTGGGGTCGTTGTACTGGCTGAAAAAATTGTGTTGGACAAAACCTACAAAAAACATTGCATAGCTGGGTCCCATTTTGGTACCAATTGCTACACAATTGGTTTGTTTGAAAAAGTTGTCCCCGAATGAAAAACAACTGAGTGTGAGCACTAGTTCAGCTAAGCTAAGTAGTGTTTCAGATTTAGGTTCCTTAACAATGCGTTGACCGAAAAAATGTTTTAGGGCCAGAAGACCTTCGCTATTAGGAACGACTGTATAAAGAGACGTAATGTCCATAGTGAAAAGAAGGTTGTCATGGCCAAGGAAATTGAAGTCGCGAAACATTTGAAGAGCGTGTTGGCTGTCTTTGATATACGATGGTTACGTTTTGACGATGGGAGCCATAATTTTTTCTAAATAGGTAGAAATAGTTCGGTAGGGCAACTGCAGGTCGAGACAATGGGCCCACATAAGTTGTTAGGTTTGTCTATTTTAGGTAAAAAGTAAAGACAAGAAGTTCTAGGAGTAATTATGTTGAGATGTGTTGCAGACATGCGAGCGGGCAGGCAGGCAGGCAGGCAGGCACGTACAGACAGGCAGTCAGACAGGTAGACAGGGAGGCAGGAAGAAAGGCATATAAGACCACCAAAACCATTTAAAATAATGGGTAAAGATAAAATTTGTGAGCTGTGCTGTCCTAGATATTCTGTCTTGTACAATTTAAGCACTAATTTTAAAGGGTCCATATCCACACAAAGAAGGTGGAAGGGATATTTTCTCTGTTTAAGTAGACGGATAAATCTCTCCCGAAATTAAAGTTCATGGTCTTATTCCTTGCAGTCTTACCCCGTTTTGGTCTCAAAGCAACAGCCACCATTGATAGACCTTTTAAGGACTAATTTAGCTCGAAGGATCAGAAAAGACGACAAAACAGTAAAGAGATCAGCTCCAGGTTCGTTGAGAGGCTGCATCATGAAGTATAGTACAGATTTCGGAGTCATCTTTAATCTCAGTTTAACCCTAACACCACTTGTTGTAATTGTTCACTTAATAACCAAAAATATATATCTTTCTTACCTGTAAAGTGCCATAGAGTCCCCAGCCGTGCCACTGTATTCTGCAGTCAAAAGCCTCTACATATCTGTGTTCTCTACATATCTGCCTCGTCTGCCACCTTAAAAGTCGTGTACTCAGCATACTTGATGTTCCTATCGAAGTCCTCCACATCGACTCTGAGCTTGACATCATCAGCAGCTGTCAAACGGGGAAGATTGACGTTCCCGACCCAGAAATCGCTTTTCAGATTATCAAACCACCTTTTGTAAGATTCTCTTCCAAGGTAGAAGAAAACAGAGCCGTTCAAACGTCTCTAAAAAATTGTCCAACCTCCACCGTCTTTGCTCATGTCACACATGACTTGAATTGGTTGCCGCCATCTGGATTAATGATATACTCGCTGCTGGAATTGAAACCATCTTGAAGCAGTTGTGCGCAGCTCTTGGGCCTTACCGGTGCGGTGAGAGAAGAAATATTTCATGAAAGAAATCTGGTCAAGTGTCAAGCAGAGTAATTTCCAAGTGAGTGTCGAAAGAAATCCTGGATTGTTTTGGTTTTGCTTTACGGTGCTCCACTTCCTTAACTAATGAGATGCAAGAGTGAAACCAATCATAAATTAGTCGCCCGTGGTTTATAAAGTTTGGTTGTCTTTTTTCTTCGTGTTCTCGTCAGATCTCAAATGCAGTTTTCTTTCTTCTTACTGGCTGTTGTGACTACCTTTGTTGTGGTTTTACAATACTCAATCTAGGAATGCTCTTTTTTATTATGAATGATTTCTAGAGAGCCATAATCATTAGCTCATGGCGCTCCACATCTCTTTTCGTGGGTTCTTTGCCGCCCTTTGCTAACCAGTATAGAGAAGACTCAGTGCTGAAAAGGGGCTTACTGTTTTTTTGTCCTAATCCGAGGAGACTTGAATGTCTTATCCTTTGCAGATGTCATAGAAAAGGCAACACATTATTCTCAATGATATTAAGACCATGTGTTGGTCCGGTCTGGGGCATGAAACCTCGACCTCCTGCATAGCATTCCGGCCCTGAGATAAGCTAGCGGCGGTTGCTTTACATTGTACTTATTGCATGGTTTTTGTGAGTAGCCATTGTCGCTGCACAGAGGAGTATTCTCCTCACAAGTATTGTACACGGAGATAATTATTTGGAGTGCTGCTTTGTTTCTTTTGTTATTTTCTTGTGGTTGCACAAAAAAAAAAAAAACATGTCTAAACTGAGTTGTTGAACCTGAGTCTGGAAAACTCTGGTCAAAGTACGGGGTGTTATTTAGAACTATTTAAAATAATTTATTGGTACGGTCAGCTTTGATGACTTCCAGCGAGAGTAACATGCAATTTTCGTTGCCCTAAACAGGGATAGACTTATAGCTTTATTGATTTTTTACTCCTGTCTCATACTTTGCTGATGGGCAAGACTGTTTGAAGAAAACATGAAGCGGTGTTTGGGTGTCTGACGGTGTTTGTACGTCTGACGCCAATTCAAGCAACGGGGAACCGTTTGCCATTCTCGGGTGTCACCAAGGATTCCTTTCTTTCCTTGACTGATTATTTTGGACTAACTTTGGAAACACCAGCGTAAAAATGTTTGCTGTTTTCACGAAAATATTTTTAATATAACCGACTGCACGAGTGTTATCGTCAGTGAGAGTACTAGTATGCACGAGAGAAGCATTTTGAATAATTCCTAGATAATCAGACAGGTGTTTTAAAACTTTTACAGGCCTAGATGTCACTTTTTGTATACGTTTTCCATCTTTCATTGCAATTATAATTAATTTATCTGTACAACTCTTGTTTACGTTCATAGCCTTAAGTATCCAAGGTCTCGAATAGGCTTATTCTCTTTAATTTGCTCTGTTTCCTTTCTACATTTTTTCGTTGAGGCTCGAGGTTAAACTCGTGCAGGTTTTTCATTTATGTCTTGACTCTTAAAAAGAAATGAAGCACTCTCTAGTGGGATGTACTTTACCTCAAAGGAATTTCATTTATCTTTGCACCTCGGCAAACAAAGTCTTCATCTTCGGTGAAGTTATTAATCCCTTAAAAAATCGATCAGAGTAGCTCAACTCGTTCTTGAAACTTTCCCCACTTTTTTGCTGTTTTAAAGTTGTAAGAGTTATATCGGATTTCTCTGAAGCACTCAAACTCGCAAACAGTTCAGAATACGCTTCTATCTAGCTTTTTCCCCTCTGCTGCTTTAGCAAAGTTTGTGGCCTTTCATGCTCAGAAAGAGGCCTAATCATACCGTAAAAAACTGTGTTGACGAGAGTATCTATGGCTGCATTGTCAGTTTTGAGCGGTTTAGAAAAGGTACAGGTCTGTTTTCATTGAGTGGTATTAGCTTAAAGCCGTCTCAAAAAAATCTAATGAAACAACTAAGGTGTTTAAATATATAATTTGATCAAAAATAAGACACAAACGATAGTGATAAACATATTGAACTTGCACATTTTGATTATGACTTGACGTTTCGTATGTAGTCCACATTCATTTTCAAAAGTAACCGTTGAAATTTAAAACAGCTATGTATATATATAACTAAGGTGAGGGAACTGGAACCAAGATTAAGCAAAAGCTTAACAATAAATTATGTATTATTGACGCTCGGTAGGTGAGCATAATCTACGATAGCTTGCCAAGTCATTTTTTGCCGCATGTTTCATTCTTTGTCCAATCCAGAAAACTCTGATAAAAATGTATAATGAAATTTTCCCAAGCATCAAAACATTTATTCACACCTGTTAGTTCCACCATCTAATTTTATAATGTTTACCATTGCGTTGAAAACAGACCATAATATACGTTAATTGAAGCTCCCCCTTAGGGGCTTTTCAGCCACACTGTAGACTAACTAAGAGCTTAAGAATCCCCACTGGTAGGAGGCAG